CTGGAGTTGAGCCATGCAGCGACCCATACTCCTACTAAAAGCGGCAGGTACATGGTAAGTGGTTAGTAAGCCTGGTTATAGCCCAAGGCTTACAACCATGTAAGTCGGTTACAACCATGAAGTGTGTTATAACCATGGTTCTTACCCGCTGTTTAAGTATCCTGCACTTTTAAGTAAGTGCAAATCCCAGGGGCCTTAGGGGAAGGGTAGCAATGACAAACAACAGGATTTGAAGATAACCACTGCTTCCCGCCAACCAGGTCAAGTGCTTCAGGCGTTTCGCCACTATAGTAGGTAGCCCTTCGGCCTCCTCACCTCTAGGTTTTACATCATATCATGGTTTCGCCTGCTTGCCTACTATAGTGGCTGGCCTGGATCATCATTATCAACATCAGCAGCAGCAGCATCATCATCAACATCATCAGAATCACAATAACAATGATAATAATCATCATCAGCATCATCATCATCATCATCAACAACAACATCAACATCAACGTCATCATCATCATCATCATCATCATCATCATCATCATCATCATCATCATCATCATCATCATCATCAGCAGCATCAGCATCAGCATCAGCATCATCATCATCATCACCACCATCACCATCACCATCACCATCACCATCACCATCACCATCACCATCACCATCATCATCATCATCATCATCATCATCATCATCATCATCATCATCATCATCATCAACGCAGTGGGAAAGGAGTCCCCTTTCCCCATAGTCGTCAAGGGTAAACCCATCCTATCAGTAGAGGGGTTCCTAAGGTGGTCTGAACCGTCCGCGAAAAGGAATTGGACATCGAAAGAAGACCGAGTCGGAGCTCGATGTTATGTCTTGGCAAATGGGAGATGCTCCTTGCAGGGTTCCATTTTTTGGTGACGACTCAAGGCCAGAGCTTCCCCTTTGGAGGATCAACCTACCTGGAGTCTCCATGACCCCGTAAAACTTGGTCAATGACCAACCATCATTTTGGATAATGACCAACCATGTTTTAAGGGTCGATAGGAGACTCCAGGTAGGTCCATTTTTCGGTTACCGCTGAAGCCCAGAGCTTCCCTTTGGGGGATAAACCCAGGTCCGACGCCGCTTTTTCGCCTGAGAGAAAAAGAACCACGGCGCTCGCTCCGCGCCGTTCGGCCGCCTCGGCCGCCTCGGTCAGGGGCTCACGGAGGACAAGACCTTGATGGAGGACTCGGTAGAGGTCACGGCCAACGTGGAGAGCTTGCCCTTCGGCGGCCAAGAAAAGAAACATCACCCCGGTGAAGCAGCCAGTGTGATCCCGCAACAATCTCCCAACTCATCCGGGTTCCCCACCCTGGCGCAACAGTGTTTGATGTTCCTCAAGAGAACCGAAAGGTGATCATCGAAACGCGGGTTAGATCGGGTTTCGGAAGGGAAACCAGCTATGGGAATGGCCCGGATTGAGAAATCAGGTGGCTTTCCAGGAATCCAGGTCAAGGTCCCCCAGCAATTGGTGCCCGACCTCTCACCGTTCCTTTTTTGGTTGGGAGGCGCTTTTTTTTTCTCGACCAAAATAGACTACAGAAAAAATGGTACCCTTATTCTATCCTCTCTACTGGAGGACCGACACACCATGATCATAGGTGTCCTTTTTGGTTGGTTTGCTTTAAAAAATAGAAGGTGTATTTATTTTACCAGAGTTGACGTCAACACCAAAACACAAGCAACCGAATCTCAACATCAAAATCCCAAAGCACATTTGTCGAACATCCGAATCCCAGTTGGCTGGGCGGGTCCCAACCCCTGTCTGCAATTTGTGGTGAGACGAAACTGTAATTAAAAAACCAGGTTGGGCAGGCAGGGTGGTAGCAAAAGGATACAAAGGTGCGCCAATCCCCACACACATCACCTTTACCCGCTGTTTTGGTGGGTTTTTCTTCCTGGTTCGTTGGGTGGTCATGGTCATAGGTGGCCTCTTGGAAAAATAGATGTGTGGTTCTGTTTGCGTTGTTTCATCTAGGACCCCAGTATGCCCTTTTACCCTTCTCCGGGGAGGGTTCTCCCACTAAAATTAGATCACAGAGAAAAGGGAACCCTTGGATCTTTGGTTACACAAAAGAGTTGGTACCCTTATTCCAACCTCTCTACCATGGGCGTGGGTCTTCAGGTCGCGGCTGGTGCTGGAGGATGAGATGGACGCCCACGCCAGGAGCCTCTGCTTTGTTTTTGGTTCCCTTTGTGGGGTGGGTGTGGGTGTGGGTGTGGGTGTGGGTGTGGGTGTGGGTGTGGGTGTGGGTGGGGGTGTGGGTGTGGGTGTGGGTGTGGGTGGTGGGTGTGGGTGTGGGTGTGGGTGTGGGTGTGGGTGTGGGTGTGGGTGTGGGTGTGGGTGTGGGTGTGGGTGTGGGTGTGGGTGTGGGTGTGGGTGTGGGTGTGGGTGTGGGTGTGGGTGTGGGTGTGGGTGTGGGTGGGTGTGGGTGTGGGTGTGGGTGTGGGTGTGGGTGTGGGTGTGGGTGTGGGTGTGGGTGTGGGTGTGGGTGTGGGTGTGTGGTGTGTGGTGGGTGGGTGTGGGTGTGGGTGTGGGTGTGGGTGTGGGTGTGTGGGTGTGTGGTGTGGGTGTGGGTGTGGTGTGTGTGGGTGTGGGTGTGGGTGTGGGTGTGTGTGGGTGTGTGGGTGTGTGGGTGTGTGGGTGTGTGGGTGTGTGGCTGTGTGGCTGTGTGGTGTGTGTGGCTGTGTGGCTGTGTGGCTGTGTGGCTGTGTGGCTGTGTGTGTGGCTGTGTGGCTGTGTGGCTGTGTGGCTGTGTGGCTGTGTGGTGTGTGGCTGTGTGGCTGTGTGGCTGTGTGGCTGTGTGGTGTGTGTGTGGTGTGTGGGTGTGTGGGTGTGTGGGTGTGTGGGTGTGTGGGTGTGTGGGTGTGTGGGTGTGTGGGTGTGTGGGTGTGTGGGTGTGTGGGGTGGGTGGGTGGGTGGGTGGGTGGGTGGGTGGGTGGGTGGGTGGGTGGGTGGGTGGGTGGGTGGGTGGGTGGGTGGGTGGGTGGGTGGGTGGGTGGGTGGGTGGGGTGGGGTGGGGTGGGGTGGGTTCGGTGGGTGGGTGGGTGGGTGGGTGCCTTCTCCAATGATCCCCCTTCTGACCTTCCAGTGGGCCCCACGGGCTGATGAGCACCACTGGAAGGGATGATGAAGGGTGGGGAGGAGAAGGGGATAATCACTCCCTGCAATGATTCGTAGCAATGACTCCTAGCAATGACTCCTAGCAATGACTCCTAGCAATGACTCCTAGCAATGACTCCTAGCAATGACTCCCAGCAATGGCTCCTAGCAATGACTCCTTGCATTGACTCCTAGCAATGACTCCTTGCATTGGCTCCCTTGCAATGACTCCTAGCAATGCCTCCTTGCAATGACTCCTTGCAACGACTCCTAGCAATGACTCCTTGCAATGACCCTTTGCATGACTCCTAGCAATGACTCCTAGCAATGACTCCTAGCAATGACTCCTATCAATGACGACTCCTTGCAATGACTCCTTGCGATGGCTCCTAGCAGTGACTCCTAGCAATGACTCCGTGCAATGACTCCTTGCATGTAGCAAGGACTCCTAGCAATGACTCCTAGCAATGACTCCTTGCTTCAGCAATGACGCCTTGCATTGACTCCTAGCAATGACTCCTTGCAACGACTCCTAGCAATGACTCCTTGCAATGACCCTTTGCATGACTCCTAGCAATGACTCCTAGCAATGACTCCTAGCAATGACTCCCAGCTGCAATGACTCCTTGCAATGGCTCCTAGCAATGACTCCTAGCAATGACTCCTAGCAATGACTCCTAGCAATGACTCCTAGCAATGACTCCTTGCAATGACTTGCAATGACTCCTAGCAATGATTCCTAGCAATGACTCCTTGCAATGACTCCTAGCAATGACTCCTAGCAATGACTCCTAGCAATGGCTCCTTGCATTGACTCCTAGCAATGACTCCTTGCATGACTTAGCAATGACTCCTAGCAATGATTCCTAGCAATGACTCCCAGCAATGGCTCCTAGCAATGACTCCTTGCATTGACTCCTAGCAATGACTCCTAGCAATGACCCCTAGACATGATTCCTAGCAATGACTCCTAGCAATGACTCCTTGCAATGACTCCTAGCAATGACTCCTAGCAATGGCTCCTTGCATTGACTCCTAGCAATGACTCCTTGCATTGACTCCTAGCAATGACTCCTAGCAATGACTCCTTGCAATGACTCCTTGCAATGACTCCTAGCAATGACTCCTAGCAATGACTCCCAGCAATGACTCCTAGCAATGACTCCTGGCAATGACTCCTAGCAATGACTCCTAGCAATGACTCCTGGCAATGACTCCTAGCAATGACTCCTTGCATTGGCTCCCTTGCAATGACTCCTAGCGACTCCTAGCAAATTTGATTAATATATATATTCATATATTTATATACCATAATCTAGAGCCAAATTGAATATTGAATTTTCATAATTTTATTGAATATTCAATTTGGCTATAGTTTTATTATATATATATCAAAATATATAAAACTACACCCATCTGTAATATTAAGTTTTCAATGATTATTGAATATATATATATATATATATATAAATCAATATATTATAGATTTATATATATATATATATATTTAAATTATATCCATTTTATTGAATATTAAATTTGGCTATAATTATTGAAATATATGAAACTATATTCAAATTGAACATTATTGATTCCAAATGTATTAAATATCAAATTTGGTTAAAATTTATTCATATATCTTTATATATAAACACTATAGCCAAATTGAATATTACATTTTCAGAATTGTATTGAATAAAATAAATTTGGCTATAGTTTTATTATATATATTAAAGAAATATAAAACTATACCCAAATAGATAAAATTATACAATGCTGATCATGATGATGATGATGATGATGATGATGATGATGATGATGATGATGATGATAGTGATCATGATGATCATGGTGATCATGGTGATGATGATCATGATGATCATGATGGTCATGATGATCATGATGATCATGTTGCTGATGATGATGATGATGATGATGATGATGATCATGATGTGTGTCTGTGTCTTGTGTCTGTCTGCTTGTGTGGGGGTTGCTGGGCTGCTGATGCCTTGAACTTGCTGCCTTTTGGCTCAGCAGCTCCAGCCCTCACCCTCTGTCTCCTCCTTGCCCCATGGGCAAGTCAACCTACCATCGTGTAGGGTCCGGAGGCAGGATGGCCAAGCCCACCTTGGTGCCTTGGCTGCTCTTAACTGTTTTGTCTGTCTGTCTGTGTCTCTCTGCTTGTCCCCCACGTGCTGCCCTGCCCAGGCGTAGCCAGAAAGGACCGCTGCCAGTCAAGGAGGGCTGGCCTTTGAAGGAGCAGCAGGCTGGGCCCTTGTCCTGTCTGTGCCTTTTGCCCGCCTGGAAGAGACCCTGGACCCTATGGCTGGAGGCCAGGGTGGGGGTAGGCCCCCAAAGCAGGAGAGGGCTTGACCCATCATCTTCCCCTGTGCCAGGAACAGCCTGGCAAAAGGGCAAGCGGGGGTGCTTACATTCTTGAGCAGGAGCATAAGAGGTTCTCCAAGTGCTACTGCGGCAAACGCAGGGACACTAAAAGATCCAATGCGCAAGGGTTCTTAAACCCAAGGCCAGTGGGAAAGGGTCAGGACAGGATTGGGCACATCAGAAGGAACTTGGGTGTGAGAACTTACACCCAGCTTTTTGGTCGCCCTGACTTGGCTGCATTGGATGGCTCCCCCACCCACATCCACACCCCCCACCCACACCCACCCCCCCACCCACACCCACACCCCACACACCCCACCCCACACCCACCCTCACCCACCACACCCCCCACCCACCCACACCCCCCACCCACCCACACCCCCCACACCCCATCCACACACACCCCACACCCACACCCCACACCCACCCACACCCCACACCCACCCACCCACCACACCCACCCACCCACACCCCCCATTCATGTCTGGCTCATCATTCATGCCTGCTGTGTTCACTCTGCTTCACTCTATGTCACCTGGTGGCTCATGCCTCAGGCCTGCTAAGCAGGCCCTGCTGCAGCCACTCCCAGCGTGTGGGTGTGGGTGGGGGGTGTGTGGGGTGTGGGTGGGTGTGGGGTGTGGGTGGGTGTGGGGTGTGTGGGTGTGGGGTGTGGGTGGGGTGTGGGTGGGTGTGGGGTGTGTGGGTGTGGGGCGTGGGTGGGGTGTGGGTGGTGGGTGGGTGGGTGTGGGTGGGTGGGTGTGGGTGGGTGGGTGGGTGGGTGTGGGTGGGTGGGTGGGTGTGGGTGTGGGTGGGTCTGGGTGGGTGTGGGTGGGTGTGGGTGGGTGGGTGTGGGTGGGTGGGTGGGCGGGTGGGTGGTTGCTTTTGTGCTTTGGCACCCTTTTCAGGTTGGTTCACAAGAAAACCAAAAGCCGGTGTCATACCTTGCTAGGGGGTGAAAAACCCCAAGTGGCCAACCACAGACACGGAAGCTTTCCTCGAATGCGGCTTTGGCTTTTCCCGAATCCCACCTCCCAGTGTCCAAGGCCTGACACCCTCCACCTTTTGGACCACAAAGCGGAGGAAAGTATTCCGGATCTATTTAGGTAGCCAAAACCACCAGACCCGAAGGCCCCCCGAAAGACCCGAAAGCTTCCCTTGAATGAACCAAACCGAACGTACCCGGAAAAGTGTTTTTTCTGGGCCAAATGACCCTCACTAGTTCGGAACCAAACAATGGGATCCAATATCTGGACAAGCCTTCACGCTCACGCGACCCAACCCGTAGCGCACAAACATGCGCCTCTCGGCCGGCGCCCAGATGTGTTTCATTGTTGTTGTTGTTCTTGTTCTTGTTCTTGTTCTTGTTCTTGTTGGTGTTGTTGGTGTTGTTGGTGTTGTTGGTGTTGTTGGTGTTGTTGGTGTTGTTGGTGTTGTTGGTGTTGTTGTTGTTGTTGTTGTTGTTGTTGTTGTTGTTGTTGTTGTTGTTGTTGTTGTTGTTGTTGTTGTTGTTGTTGTTGTTGTTGTTGTTGTTGTTGTTGTTGTTGTTGTTGTTGTTGTTGTTGTTGTTGTTGTTGTTGTTGTTGTTGTTGTTGTTGTTGTTGTTGTTGTTGTTGTTGTTGTTGTTGTTGTTGTTGTTGTTGTTGTTGTTGTCTCGTTGTTGTTGTTGTTGTTGTTGTTGT